CTCGACGGGGAGCTCGTTCCAAAGGGTCGGAGCAGCCACAGAGAAGGCTCTCCTCCGGGGAGTCACCAGTCGGCATTGGCCAGCGGATGGAATTCGGAGGAGGCCTAATCTGTGGGATCTGATCGGTCTATTGGAGGTAATTGTCTTTTTATGTACACTGCGAGCTTATGCACCAAAAGACAAATTCTTTGTGTGTCCAATCACACTTGGCCAATAAAGAATTTTGTTCTGTTCTGTTCTATTCTATTCTATCTCAACTATTTATGATATTTTGGGGGCACTTTGAGACTGAAAACATATATATAGTGACCACAGCATGGTTTCTTCTCCAAAAGAAAGCAAAAGGGAACTATCATTGTTTCTCAACCTTGCCCACTTTAAGATGCCTGGACTTCAACTCCCAGAATTCCCTAGCCAGAATGCCAAAATTCTGGGAGTTAAAGTTTGAGCATCTTAAAAGTGGCCAAGGAGGAGAAACACTGGGCTAAAAGGCTAAAATTCTAGCAAAGTACAGGTAATCTTTAATTTTTCTTGCTAAGCGAACCATTTGTTAAATGAATTTTGCCCCATTTTACAACCTTTCTTGCCACAGTTATTAAGACCACACAGTTATTAACCGCTGCAGTTGTTAAGTTAGTGACATGGTTGTTAAGTGAATCTAGCTTCCCTCAGAAGGTCACCAATAAGGGGATCGCATGACCCTAGGACATTGCATCCATCATAAATATGAGTCAGTTGCCAAGCATCTGAATTTCGATCACGTGACCATGGTGGTATATTGCAACGGTCGTAAGTCTGTAAAGCGGTCACAACTCACTTTTTTCAGTTGCCGTTGTAACTTTGAATGGTCACTAAATGAGCCGTTGTGAGTCAAGGACTACCTATCTACAGAGATGAGGTTTCATCTGTCAGCCTTGCTGAGGCAAGAATGAAACTTGTGTTGTTTTTCCTTCTGGATAGTGTGGCTAATACCACCTATATCTGTCTTTCCTCCCTGTTCTAATAGCGGAATACATCCAGATGGCAGGCCGGGCTGGGCGTCGAGGTCTCGACACCACGGGGATGGTGATTATTCTGTGCAAAAACCAAGTGCCTGAAATGTCAGACCTTCACCGCATGATGTTGGTGAGTGATTGGTGTGTGCTTGTCTCACTTAAATTGCAGCAGGAAGCAACTGCAGTTGCTTAAGCTGTAAATGAATCCGTCTTAACAACAGAATAACAGAGTTGGAAGGGACCTTGCAGGTCATCTAGTCCAACCCCCCCCCCCCATCTTACCCAAGCAGGAGGCTCTACACCAGGGGTAGTCAACCTTTTTATACCTACCGCCCACTTTTGTATCTCTGTTAGTAGTAAAATTTTCTAACCGCCCACCAGTTCCACAGTAATTTTATGAAAACCTAATGAACATTTTTAAATAATGCTATGAAATTTTTTTAAAAAGTCAATTAAATTTT